GGTTTCTGTAAATTGTCAGAGTTAATGGTTTCTGTAAATCGTAAAGTTTGATAACAAGATGTTCAATGTACTACGTAGGATTTTTCTCATTTAAAACTTTTTTGAATATGTAGGTGTTGTAAGGGTTTTTCTTTTATTTTGCAGCACCACAAGTTACTACTTACAATAACCTTGGTCAAGATTGTGTTGGGGCTGGATGCAGTGTAGATTTGTTTGTTTTCAACAATTCGTACATTGATATTGCTACAATTGGACAAGTTTGTCGTTTAACTGGAGGTGAAATTTTTAAATACACATATTTTCAGGTTAGTCAATTTCATTGAACTTGTTAAGTGTTTCACATAGAGAGTGGTATTTTATGTTTTATGCAGGATGTAAATTAGATGAAATAACATTTGCATAGCCTATTTTCTATTTTTCATAATTACTACATTTGTGTATGGTCTGAAATTTATAAGGAGGGACGTGTAATAAATGACTATATTGGGTCATGGGAAGTTATTCTTAATTGATGAAATAAGTTGGTTAGATATCTGTATTGGTATTAGTCGAAATATTCTTAAGAAAAGACTCATGTTTATTAATCATCATATACTCATAAAAGGAAATTAAGATGTTTTAAATGAAAAAATCAGTTATCAACTATTTCACTTCTGTCATTAATTACAGTTGTGTAATATTATGTGTTATTCTTGTGTATATCTCATCTGAATATTTTTCTTTTTCACTTCTCGTTCTATCTGATATTGCTTATCTAGCATTTGAAGTAATGTTGTTGAATAAAAAAATGTATTGCAGGCTGACTTAGATGGCGATCGCCTGATAGCTGACATAAAGAACAATATTAGTCGCCCTATAGCATTTGATTCTATAATGCGAGTGCGAACATCAACTGGAGTTCGAGCAACTGATTTTTATGGTCATTTCTTTATGTCTAACACTACAGATATGGAACTGGCTTCAATTGACTGTGATAAAGTGAGTTGCATTGTTTCAGTATTTTTGCTTCGCTTTACAAGAGATACACTTAATACTTCTCTTTTGAGCATAATATTAAATGAATGTAAAATGTTCTTTTCTAATGTGCATTTAATTAGAATGATTGCAATTGCACAAGCAAAATTTTGAAAATAATACTAATTGAAATGTTTTTTGTTGTAAATTTCAAACTTCAGAGAATAGTTTTGGATAAAATGCCCTCTTTTAAAAAATTTCTGAATATTTTATTGTTCGATCCCATTCTCTTTTATTTATTCAGTTCTCTTTCTTATTCTTGCCTATTTTTTTTAAGATTAAGGCATTAACAATGTTGGGGTTTTGTTTTTCTGTTGAAAGGCAGTTGCTGTTGAAATTAAGCATGATGATAAACTGACTGAAGAAGATGGGGTGTATGTTCAAGTAGCTTTGCTGTACACGTCATGTGGAGGACAGCGGCGATTGAGAGTTCTGAATCTTTCTTTTAAGACATGTTCACAGATGGCTGACTTGTATCGAAGTTGTGACTTGGACAGTATTGTGAACTTTTTCTCAAAACAAGGTAAAAAGCCTTTTTTTCTTTAATGGAATGGGGTTTTGAATAAATAAATAAATATATAAATATTTATTTATTTATTGTGACCATCTCCTGAATTAGATGAATAAGAGTTTCTAATGTCATTTTGCTGAGAAACGCATGATTTCTGCACAGCTGTTTTTTGACAATTTCTTTTCTTGTATAATGTTCAGAAGGTTGGGTGAGTTGCGAGTCATAGCTCCAAGAATGTTTTTAAGAATTGCTATACTTTAAATATATTTTTTTGAATACAGATGAAGTAAAATGCAAATTTGTAACTTGACAGAATTGTGGTGCAAACTATGATGACCTTGTGTCATGCATGAGCCTGCAATCACATCCAATTTTAGGCTGTCAGAGTATTAGCCTGCAAGCCAACCATCATGATTGCAGTGCATTCGCTGTTCATAAGGAATGCTAGTGACTTCCTGATTCTACACCAACATTGTGGTGACATGGAAGAGCAGGCCTCATGGCCTGAGCCTCGCCACGTAAAATAAGGCATTAATTCAATTCAATTCAGTTCCAAGTTTGAGAAATGCATGTAAAGTTGATCTTCTTCTTCTTCTTCATCATCTTCATCTTCATCTTTATATTCTTCTGCTTCATCTTCTTTTTCTGCTTCTTCGCCCGAAGTGATGTACAGGAAGTAATAAAATTCGAAAATTACACCTGTGTTTTGTTTTGATTTCAATGCTCATATGGTTTTTCATTGGAATTGGTTCAATGTGGAGATCAAATATTTAAGTTCCTTTGCTAAATGATAGTGAATTCCACATGTGAATCTACATTGCCCAGGATCTTCGTTTTTTCTTTGATGCAATTGTATTTTCACCCTCTTCTTACCTTTTTGCCTCCTGAGAAATAATGAGACAGCAATTCAAAGCAAAATCAAATTCAAAAGACTGGAAACAGCATGACAATGACTTATGACTAAATTAATTTTAAAAACTGTTGCATGCTGAGAAAATTGTTAATTTATGGAGAAAAACAAATTTATATTAAGTATTGTCAGGGCTTGATTTCTGGCAGAACACAATGGACTGGTGTTCCAGTACTTTGGGAATAATTATTAAATGTATTATAAATATAAAATTATTTCTATTAAATTAATAAGAACTTTGGTGACTGTTCAAGAACATAAAATTTTATAAATCAAGCATTGAGTATTGTTCACATCAAATTGTGAACAGCAGGAAGGGAATGTATTGCAATAACAGACATTGCAATGAGACCAATAGAAAATGACATAAATGGCAGGAAAATGTAAATTTGAGGAATGTTAAAATCAGATTTTATTGTTTTTTCAAGTTTTGCAAAATTGGGGAATTATTTATTAATTTATTAGTGAAACATACCCTTAGATAATCAAATAATTATTGCTAAATAAACAAGTCACAGGGATGACTTGGCAAGAATATGTATAGTAAAAAAACAGAACCCTAATCCACAGCAAAACAAATAACTTCCTTACAGCGATTAAGAAATTAATTAACAAACATTCTGCATTTACTTTGGAACTAATGAAGAAATCTATAAACTGAAGAACTTTCATTATCCAGCATAATTACAGGGAAGGTCCTTGGGAAGTCAAAAACCCTAAATAATCAAAATACATTTAATTGGTTCAAATTTGTTCATTTAAAAATCTAGTATTTTTTTTTAAACATATTAAAATTTACTGTTACATCTATATAAGTACTTTACATAGTGCATAGTACAATTTTATTTTCAGAAATAATGTATTTCTTTTTAAATGTGTGGTTTGCTATTCAATATTTTCTTCAACTTTTCCCATGGTCAATTGAAGATATTTCTCCTCGTCAATTCATTAAATTAATTACTTAATTTTGATGTTGTAGGTTAGAGTTTTAATGTATATATAATAGAGAGTCAGACAGAGAGAGAGAGATTTATCGCTTATAAAATGCAGTTTATGATTCAATATTCAATTGTGTATAATATATGGGACTTTTGCAATTCTTGTAAGTAATCTAGAAGTAAAAGCATTTAATGTGGTATTAATTATGCATATAAAGTTGGTTATGTTGTCAAGAATGCTAAGACAAGAGTGGAATAGTGAACCAAGTTCAGCAGGTTGCGAGTTCAATTCCAATGTAGACTTGGTTCGCTTTCCAACCTACCATGTATCACCTTTCAATCTATATTTTCATTTCTGGTCCGTCTGGGTAATGCAGGAATGTGTGAGGGGTATGTAATTGTTGGATTTGGATAGTGATATTTCTGATGACCTTGATGTTGTGGCATGATGCGTTAGACCCAGCCATCATGCATTGTTCAAGAAGCCTGGATCCTTCCCTTCAAGCCAGATGTACAATTGCATATAAATTAAAATTGATCTTATATATTCTAATTTTTATGTCCTCAGTTGTATTTCGTCTGCTTGAGTCCTCTCCAAAACAAGTAAAAGACAGTTTGGTTAATAGATGTGCCCAAATGCTAGCATGCTATCGTAAAAATTGTGCTAGTCCATCATCTGCTGGGCAACTTATTCTTCCTGAATGCATGAAATTGCTACCATTGTATGTTAACTGCATTTTGAAGAGTGATGCTGTGTCAGGAGGTAAGTTCATTTTCATTGAAACTATTTTGGGAAAATAGTATTAGTTCTATTAGTTGTACTTTCTGAGTGTTTTCATTACAAACCATGATAATTATTGTCAATGAAACAAAACATGATAATCATTGTCAAAATCACAATAATTTATCCCATATGTGGAAAATACAGAAAACTGCGTCACCTCTTTCTGTTTCTTTAAATACTTTCCTTACGTTGGCATTGATACTTCATCATTTATTAAACAATAGAGCTGTATCACCAGCTAACTTTCAGTTTCATTTGAATGCAACTAACTTGGGGATCCAATATGTAATAGTAAAAGATCAAATGTATATCTCACTTGAAAACTGTACTTGACCCTTGTTAAAAATCAATTATGCCTATCACAGCATTATTTTTATTTGTCTCAACAATATTACAGTATTTACTGAATGAACAATTAAAAATTTAGTAACTTACTGTTGGCTTAATAGAGGAGTATTTTTCAAAGCCCAATAAATTCAAAAGAAATTCAGTGTAGGTTATATATTGTTTTAGAATATTTTGACCCATTTTATCTTCCCTTTAAATTGGGTTTTATCAAAACTCGACCAATTCTATAGTAAACTGTAGGTTTAAGCATTCAAAATTACAAGGTTGTAGCAAAAGTTGATATAAATGCATGCTCAGCATTCATTTTATGAAAAACTATTTTTTGCATTTATCGAGTATTTGAAAGGTTTTCCTCACTTTCATCTGAATGCCATTTTTCCTGTGACTTCATTAGATGGGAACTTCAAATGTTTCTAAACAAAGGAAATGTGTGAAGTGTGTATCTATTCAGATATTCAGGTGCCCATGGCAAACAGAATTTGCGCCCCTGTTAGGTTACCTGAAAATAAGGTTATTGTGTTAGCCAGTGAACTCTAAATAGCACCCCTTGTGAGGGGTGCCCAAGGCATTTGCCATGTTTGCCATATTGTAGATAAGCCTCTGGAAGTATGTAGATCGACTTATTCTGTGGCATGTTAATTATGTGGTATGGGCAGATTTGAAAATATTCAGGCTACATTTTATTATTTGTTACTTACATTGTATGAACAGTATTTAAACCTAATTAAAGGATTTACAAAATGTAAACAGGAAGTCCTTAAAAAATGAAGAGGAAATGAATGGGGTGGTCCATAAAGTACGTAACCCAAAAAGGTGGGAAGGGCGTTTGAGGCTGCTTTACATAGGAGTAGGGGGTTATTTGTTTTGTGTTACATAGCACTTTCTTAAACATATTTCAACATTTATTGAAACATTTCCTTTTTGAGTTTTATGCTAAAACATTAAAATATTAACTAATTAATTTGTTTTAAAAACAAATTGAAGGAATTAAAAGTTGTTACAATAAATACAATTGTTATAACCAAAATAGAATAAATACAAATTGTTTTTACTGTGGGGATGTTGTTGCAAATGTTACATAATTATTTAGGAGGTTCAAGCGCACATTATGGGTGCATTACAGGGGGAGAGGGGGTCTTCAGAATACTCCAACTTTGCGTTACATTATTTATGGATGGCTCCAAAACTATGGACTTTATATAACATGAATTACTTGATTGTATTTGAAAAAACTTGTATTACTTTTTATTAATTAATGTTCGCTTGTTCATGTTTCAGGCTCAGATATGACAATAGATGATCGTTCATTTGTTATGCAAGCAGTTTCAATTATGGATCTCCCTTCCTCTGTGGTCTATTTCTATCCAAGACTCATTCCATTACATGACATTGATGTGGACAGTAGTGATATACCAGCTCCCATTCGCTGTACTGCAGATAAAATCAGAGATGAAGGGGTGTATTTGCTGGGTAACCTACTTTCCAATATTTATAGTGTCCTTAAAAAGTACGAAAATGGGAGGAAATTGATCTGATGTATACTATTTTATTTCAGAAAATGGTGTCCACATGTTCCTTTGGATTGGCCTAAATGTTGGAATGGATTGGGTGCAGAATGTATTTGGTGTTCATTCAGCAGCACAAATTGACATTGACCGTACAGCATTACCTGAGTTAGACAATCCATTGTCGCAAAGAATAACTTCTCTTGTAAGCACAGTTAGACAACAGAGGCATAGATCCATGCGAGTAAGTTTTTATTCTTAAGTAACTGTTTATTATTTTACTCCAGTCTTGTTAAAGGATTGAGTTATTGTTTTTACTTTAAGTTGTTTTATAAAGAAAAATTATAGGATCTAATTAATTTCAATCCTAGCATGTTGAAGCTTCCGAAACAAGAAACAATACCTCATGCCTATAAAAGAGACATTTATAACAGACCAAAAATAATTGTCTTATTCTTTCATGTAATGTCAATATATATTTTTTTGTAATTACATATTTTCAATGTGAAAAGTCTATTTTAACAAAAAGCCCTTTTTTATTTTTCTTGTTATGATTCATTATCAGTTTCCAAAATTAAATTAATATTATTAAAAAGTAGAGATACAGTGTATTGTTTCTTGAGCAACATGGTTTTAAATATATATTTGTCATCTACGTAATGACTAGATGAGCTTTCTTAAATAAGGTTATCTTAAAAAATAAAGTAGCACATAGGTCATCAGTCAAGAAAATTTTGGAATAATGAAGAAATTTTGTGACTCAACAAAGGGTCAGACTAACAGAAATGTTTTGCTCTTGCTTTGTATTTTGTAACATGTAGGGTTTATAGTTCTATTGCTAATTTTGTTGTTTGTGACCTTGAAAAGAAGCACATTAGGAGCAGCCTCCTCTTTGGGTCTCTTGATTTACTCATTAAACCCATGCAGACCCTTTATCTTTTAACAAAGAACACAACCATTCTAACAACATTAAAGTTCTTTCCATTCTTAAATACAAGAAGTGTTGACATTACATATTCTTGTAAAAGCACAGTTGCTAGATGCAATGTCTTGAAAGATTTAAATTTTTTCATAAAATATCATGTACAAACAAGAGAAAAATAAGATTTCACTGAATGAATTTTGTTTTCCACCTAGCCAAGAGAAATAGCTTAGTAAACTGATATCTTCAATTATTATATATTATTTTATTTCTTATTTATTAAATATTATTTTATTTCTTATTGCTTCTTACTAGTATTAATTTTGACAAATGTTTTGTGGTGTTATTTCAGCTAACACTTGTTCGGCAGCGAGACAAACTGGAAATGGTGTTTAAGCATTTCCTAGTAGAAGATCGCGGCTTTGATGGGTCTGCTTCCTATGTGGACTTTTTGTGTCATATGCACAAGGAGATTCGCAACCTTCTCAGCTAGAAGTTAATTGTCAAATAGTTAAAATTTCATAATCCCTGTACATTGTATTTTATAATTACTTACTCATTAACATTTGTAAGAGATGAGTGTGAATTTACACATACGCTCTTTTGGCAACATGTGAAGGATCCATATATACAAACATATACTTAAACTACATTCCGAGTTTCATCAGGGATGTACTTGTGCATCTGTTTCACATAAGTGAAATCATAAGAGAATTACTGTGTGCAAGATGTAGGTGTAATTGTATCCATGAGGAAAAACTACACGTGGACTATGATAGAATGAGCAGAGATGTATTAATTTAATTTGAGAGTAATTGTGAAGTGTTACTAGCATTGTGATTTGAATGTAGGTGTATCTCATTGAACATCTATATTGGTTGGTAATTTTCATTCTTTGGGGTTGTTGATCTGAGGAAATGTAGTTCATTTCTATAATGGAGTATACATTGTGTAGCATTTCCTCCCATGGATTGAAACCATTAAATGCAAATAAAATGGATTGTTTACTCTATTCTAAAATGTACACTTTAAATATTTGGTTGAATCAAATTTTTGTCATAAATGGTTTATGGTATTGGTGATTTTTTGCATATAATGTCATGGTGGCATAGTGAGAAAATGTCATTTACCAAATTATAGTATTAGAATGGCATACGATTTGAGGCATTTTCTTTCTTTTAATTGAGCAGAGTGAGTTTTTATCTTTGTTTTTTATTTGTATTTTTACAATACATTTATAATCCATTTTAAATATTGAAAAATGAGAAATATGGATATATTTTTGTGGTAATATTCTGCAAAATCTGTTGTGTATTTGTGATGAAAAGAAAACACTCTACTTATTTTATTTTTGAGGGCATATGGTAAAAAGTATTCCTAATATGTTGAAAAAGGTGAAATTCCGAAAATAAAATACAATGTATTTCAAGGCTGTAACTGTTGCACCCAAACAAAAATGTGTATTTTTTTTCCTGAATTGATCCGAAAAGCAATGTTTCTTTCTCCCTCCCCACTTTTTTCTCTAGATAATAAATTTCTTTCTATGGAACTTAGCTTTGTCAATTTATTGCCATCTTACTTTGCTTAAAAGTAATTGTGAAGAGATTCATGCCCATGTGAACGTGTGGCATTTAATTCCTTTCACTTGTTTTGACTTTACAAATTCTGTTTTCTCGTAACTCTTGGTTACAAAAAGTTCATTTTTATAATAACTTGTAAAGTTTGGAACAAAATTTCAATCTGAAGTTATCTTTGAAAAAATTACTTTTAAAAGAAAAAAAAAATGTTCATGATTGAAGTATTACATTATTTTCTGATTTATTTTAATTTATCCACTCTTGCAAAGTAAATTTTTATGTAGCATTCTACAGCTTTGAACTACAGCTTTTCAAAAAACATTTTCATGATGTAAGTAGTTGTCATTGATGACACACATCGATATTTAACTCAAGTTGTTGCATCATCTTTTGTCCTCAATGAGCCTTTGAAGAATGTCTGTTTATGTGCATGTTAGGGCTGTATTGTATATAAATGAAATAATACATTGTAGTTTAATATATATGTGTTATATTTTTGAACTTAATAATATATTCAACACCATAAATCAAAACTACTCTTAATTTTGGAAGTTTCCGTTTTAGATTTGGATCGTACTAGAATTTAGTGGTTTCATACGTTACTTGCTATAGCTTTTATTTATAACCAAGATTTTTTCTTGTGTGTGTGTGTGTGTGTGTGTGAAGGGGAGGCATTCTCAAGTTAGTGTTGGATATCTCATTTAGTATTTGAAGATGTGCATCTGTGATTGTGTGAATAAAGTACTTCTGTTTTGATGGGGGAAAATGCCATGGGGTGCTTGCTATTAGTGACAAAATTGTGGGACATTTTCATATTGAGGTTTATTTCATGGTGCAAGGCCGCAGGTCCCTATTACTATAAACCATTTATAATGGGACACCTGGCTTAACACCACTTCCACTTTAGTACTCTCAAAGAGAGTGTTCTTTGACTCATAAAAGTGAAGGGTTGGTGTGAATTTCTAGGAAGTGTTATTTAGAGATACAGGTTGGTATCATTAATGAAGAGTACATATTGAAGTTTGTTTTATATGATCCTCGGACATGGTTGCATTTTAGTTCTATTTTTATATGCTCCGCTCCTCAAAAAATCAAAGAGCATTGTTGTTCTGTTTATTTGTTACAGAGATATAAAACTAACCCATATTTAAAACAAAAAAATAGAAATTGACAATGCAGAACACACAAGTTACAAATCAATAATGGAATGTATCATAATGAAAATTGTCTTAAGAGACATGTAATTCTGAAGATATAAAGAATTGAACATATAACTGTCATTGGCTTCCAAATGATAGTGATGCACAAATATCCTTACATAAATCGTTAGATAGGAAACATTTAGGTCATCAGAAGATGTCTTTAATTTACTCTAGTTTCATACATTCCACTCGTGAGAAATAAACCAAGCCAAGAATTCTGAAAGAGTGATTTAATGATTACATTTAAACTGTTTTTCATAATTTTTGAAAATGTACTAAAATTACTCTATGTACTTGGTATCCATTTCATATCTGAAAATGAAAAAATATGCTGTTAGTCATCCATACACTACATAACGCTAAAGAGGGGGAGGGTGGGTTGAGGCAGGATTGAGGTTGCAATACAGAGGGGTATTACCTTATGTAATGTTGATACCCCCACCCCCCCCAACTATTTTCAACATTTGCTGAAATGCCTTTTATTCAGCCACAAACTATAACATTATGATATTAACAAATTAAATTAAGTTAAAAATATAAATAAATTTAAAAAAATTATGTAATTGTTACAAGAAATATTTTTTCATTAATGATACATTGATTGAATCTGTTACAAATTTTGTTATATTCTAATTTGACATGTAGTGTGTTTTAGAATCCAATTAAATCAGCACAATAGTCTCACCTACACATCATTCTTGACTCTGTGTGGACTTGTCAGAAATTGTCTGGCCTATGCTTCCTTCACTCGAACATTTTCTCCGATCTTATTCATAGGTGCGGTCAGTATCGCCAACTAATTCTAACTTTAATTATCATAACTTGTTATATATAATGCAAATAAAATTAATACAAATGTTTTTTATTGCTATATAATGTATTTTTGCCCTTAGTCAATGGGAAGGGTATCTCTAGTGTTATTTGAGAAGGGGGAGAGTAATGCGCGTGTTTCCTGGGGTGGAGGGTCAAATTTGTATTTTGTAATTTATGGTTGGCCCCTAGGTTTTGATAAAAATATGACCTAATCCTGAATGACTTTTGGGTTAGTTCCAAGGAGCTGAGAATGAATATTATCTATTTAATAGAAAATTTATCCTACATCTGGTGCTGGATCAAAAAGATTTAAGTTGAAAAAGTATGTGTCTATGAATAAATGTTACAAAATTCAAAATTCTAGGACTCGTAGAAGGGTCAAAATTGATTGCTATTCACCAAAAATCTCTTTTTGACACCTCTAAATGTCTTCGTTTATTCTTGCCAGCGTAGTTCATAGTTTATAATGTGTTTGGGGAATCATGCGCACATGCTATCTGCAACACACCTTACCATCGTGCATAACTCAAAATTGGTGTGTCTTTGGACCTTAAAACTAGGCTTTGACCAGACATGTTTACATTTTTTTATGCCATATTCTGTAAAATGATATCGATTTGGATGCTCCATTTCATTTTTGGGAGATTCCTGCACTTAGTGCACGCTGACATAAATTAATCTATCTGGAGGACACTACCTTTATCTTAAACTTGTCTTAAAGTTGTTGCATGAACCCCCTCAAAATAATTGCATAGCACTTGTGACACATCCCATTTACAGTAAGTAAAAATATATAATCGTAAGAACCATTTATATTAATTTTATTTAGGTTATATATTAAAATTTATGATCATTTACGTTTGAATTTGTTGGTGATGCAGACAGCACCTAAGAATAAGATTGAAGACCATTTTTGACAAGCTGCTATTATGGACGATACATGGGTGAGACTATTATGCCAATTTGCTTCTGTTCTAGAATATACTACAGATTCATTCTGAATATTTTCTTTGTAATCTAACAATTCAAAAAATATCAATTATGAAAAAATAATTCCATTTCTCGTAACAATTACATCAACATTTCTTTAATTTATTTATATTTTTAAGTTAGTTTGTTAGTATCTTAATGTTTTAGTAAATGACTGAATAAAATGAATTATTTCAAGTAATGTTAAAAAAAAAAGTTACGAACTACTTTCTATTCCCCTACTCCTCTGTAATGCAGCTTAATGTTTCCTCCATATCCATTTATGCACAACCTCGTACAAAATAATTAACTAACAAACATTGCTGAGTGTATTTCCAAGGAGCTGAAAAAAAAGGAAATTTCATTAAGAGTAAACAATACTCTAAATTTTGGCGAAAGTCCTCATACATCTCTAACTAAAACTCAATAGCAATAGATTCAGGGCAATAAGGTGATAACTAATTTTTGCAAGGCAGGGGACAAGCAAATTTATGATAAACCTGATATTTCTTAGTGTTTATACTTCCTGCAGATTTCTAGATCCATATTGTAGTTCTATAAATATGTTAATGGGTCAAAATGTTTGTTGTTGTTCATTTGTTTGGAGAGGGGGGGATGTTCTAGAATTTTATTTGGATAAGTGAAATGTGGGCGTACATGTAGCCCCGACTCCTTCAAATCTTGAAGAGATAAGAGAAAACAGATTGCTGTGGGGAATCTTGAAATCTGCAAAGGCAAATGAGGTTAGGTACACAAATATGAAAGAAATTTATGAAACTTGTAAGTAAAAAGGGCAATGTACAAGAAAGTTAGTGACATTTGGTTGCAAATGAAATTTTATTTCCTCAATAAATTAAAGAGCATAAATGATATCCCTCCATTACATTTTCACTTAAATTTTACAAATTGAGAATTCAGCATGTTTCTTTAAGACATTTTATTGTAATTAACATCTAAACAATTGAAATTAAATTCCAATTTATCACTAACTACACATACTTTGTTGCAATTGCAAGTATTTTAGTGAAGTCTGTTCCTTTGACATGAGTCCTCTCTTTCAAAATAGTTCGAAGAACTGTAGGTATGGGCACATGGATTCTAGTCCCCAACGGCGAACCACTATCATCAATTAATACCACATTATTACTGTCAAATTTAGGAACCAATGGCTTTTGGTTTTGCTTAAGGCCCACTAGGACACCTTTCTTCTTTTCTCCTTTAATTGCCACTAATACCTTGTCACCTAAAAATAATAGATATATCACAATCTCATTCATTTATATCAAGCAGTAAAGTGATAATACAAATTACCTATTCGCCCAATTCCGGTTTTATTATACACATGAATACATCTAGGAGGTTTGCCTTCGGCCATAGCTTGTTTTCCAATTTCACTGTTATCAACAACCCTCAACCTCGTGAGTTTTTGAATTTCATTACAGGTGCATGTAGTATGCAATCTGCGAGCATAAACACCAAATATCAGAGACATACTAGGTTAACACCAACCAATATTGCTTTTTTTAAAACACAATATTTAGTTCAAATCCGCAACGTCACACTCGACGCGAAGTATGTTACGCTGGTCGCAAAACAACCTCAATTTGAAAATTTATATTAATCATAAAGCACAATATCCGTTGTATGTATCAATTTCCACCAGGGCCGGTACACTCAATGTTAAAAGGCGGGGGACTAAGTTTGTTTCCTCAGTCCCGGACCTGGTGCAGATAGCGCAGTTGTTGCGTTTTGGCGCGCATTTTCAAAGTAAGGTTGTGCGAATCAATAGTGATGCGTGTTGCGATTATTCAAGAGTTCTGCTTTTCTTATGATTCAGATTAATTTGATTTAAATAATATTTTTAAATATTGTAATAGATGTCTTTACTTAAAACCAAAATTGTAAAGTGATTTATTTATCCTTAATTAACTTTTTAAACGGGAAAAAAAGTAAAAACATGAACTTTTATTGATCATTTCCTTATTGTTTGTTTTTATTTTTTTTCACATAGATACATACAATTTGAGGGGTCTGGTGGCAATACGCCCTAACCGCCACAAATCTTTAATGTGGTACTTATTAGTTTCATTCACTTCTTCATGTGTTCACCGTTATCGTTAAGCTTGTAGTAACACCTGTTGTAGCATGGTCAGAAAAAAGGCATTCTTTGTCCAAAAAATCTTTAACCGTCTTTTTCTGTAATATTATCTGATCAAAAAAGCCTCCTACAAAATGTTAAAGAACAACTTATTTCATTAAAAAACTTAACAACAATATTAGGACAGTTTTTTGAAATATTAAATTCTGTTCAATAGTTTGTCCTGTTCCTTCCTACTTAAATGGTATTCTTATCAATATACAGCAAGGAAAAAAGGTTTAATATTATTAAACATTAGTAGATTAATACCCCGTTTTTAAATTTTAGGTTTTAACAATATTAATTATTTTTCTTAAGTGAGTCTCAATAAATTCCATTTTTATTAATGCTAATCTTCTCTAAGATGTTATACTTTAATGTGGCATTAGCAAACATTTTACTCGTCAAATCTACAATTATAAATATGCTCTTAAAGATTTCAACGCATTTTTCCTGAAAAACTACGTCGGTGTGTGTATTGTTTCCTAAATTGCCATTATCTACAGGACAATGAAATCTGGATAAAAAAACTATTATATTCATCCAAGTCCATTAGTAAATAACTGCTACAAAATTGTTTTATGTTCATTTCATAAAAATGCCTCATTTTAAAGTACATTACATTGTAATTTTTTTTTCTCGATGAATTCTTCAATTATGTGAAAAAGTTTGTGAGAAAATATATTCTTGTATATAACTGTGTAATTTATTTAAGTCTTCATCTCTATAACTTAATATTTATTATTTGTAATATTTGAAAAAATAACTAAATCATTGCTTTTTTAAAAAATTATCATATTTGAATATAAAATCATGATTGGAAATCAATTACCAGCCTTAATTTTGGTGACATTTTAGAGCCAAAAATAGAATTGTAATTTTGATACAATATCGATACAATTGGGTACTGCGTGACTACTTTGGGTAAGTCTTTTGAAAACCAAGGAAACATGGAAAAACATTTATACAATTATACTAGTTTATTGTTTGCAAGATGATTCATCTTCTTTTTGTAATAACATACCAGTTAAATAAGCTTAAGTGTTCTGGGATAAAGAGAGAATTTGCATTGTTTACAAAAAAAATCTTTTAATGAAATGAAAATTTGTTGGAAGCATAATAGACAATTTTAATTTGGGCCAGTTTTCTCCTAGTTTCTAGGCAATTCTTTACTTTAAAATAAACATGGCACACAGTATATCTTCTGTTTTAGGCTTGAAATACAATGAATTTTTTTATTTCCTTTAGCTACTCTGCATGGTGTTACTGCACATCATGACAATATTTCCACAGAGTTCCACACACAAACTATTCCTCATTGAAAAGCCTATACCATGGTAGAACAATACTCAATTGTTACGAAACAGAAATTTTGACGGTATACGGTAGAAAAATTGGATTAGATTTTTACTATAATTAATCAATAATATTATTTACAGATTTATTGTTCTGATGTTCAATTACTAATTCAAATTTGGCTACATTTTAAATGTAAAAAACATCCACCCACCGCACACATATGAATATATTAACTTTTTAGCACTTGAAGTATGATCACGTCGAAAATATACAAAAACGTATATACCTATCTTTAATATTTAAATAATCGTTTAGAATTTAGAGTATATTATTTATTACACACAGTTCTTTATATACATTCCAAAACAAAAGTTTTTTAATGTTCACTTTCAAAATTGTATGATTATTTATTAATATATTTCCAGTGCTTGTTAGGCAAGTGTTGTCTAAAAAAGGCAGTTATTATTTTGAAATATATATTGCTGAAATAATATATTTGTCTACAATATCGAGAACTCGCAGCACTTGCAGCATCAAGGGAAAAAAAGATTTCACTTTGGCCCACACTTTGTAATAAGATTTTCTTGAAATGTTCTTTGAGAAGATAAGAGGGCTGGGCTTGTAGAAAACACTGTTGATACAATTCCATCTTCTCATGTTAGTGAAGTCAAATTCGTTCTACCACAATTCACCGTTCGCAACACAATTCACTCTACTTACAATGTACGACATTCTACAAACTAACAAAATGCTGAAAAAATTCGATAAAAAAGAGCACCTAACAGCTTGCAGCCTGCACGTAACGAAAAACTAACACCGCCTACATTGCCAGCTTTTTGAATTGCATGACGTCACACGTTTAGTTCGGATCACGTCTGACCTATTGTAGATGGCGCAAAAATCATTACCCCGTTTTGATCGTCAAGTTTCCCTACCCTGATTTCCACCCAGTGGTTTAAGGCTTTTCAGGTCTTTCATTCAAGGCAGTTACAACGTTAAAAGGCGGAGGACTAAGTTTGTTTCCTCAGTCATGGACCTGGTGAAGATAGCGCAGCTGTTGCGTTTTGGTGCGCATTTTCGAAGTAAAGTGCGAAATACGCTGGTTGTGGTGCGTATATGGAATATCCATGAGTATTATCTGCTTTTCTTAAGATTTACCACTAAGAATTAATTGTATTATTTTCAGAAGATGGGTAAAGAAAGGTAAGAGGGTGCTCAACCTCTGGGAGGATGCTCTTTCATAAGCTCCCCAAAAATTAACAGATGCGTGAACGATGCTTTAAAAACAAAAATCGCCAATATTTAATTGGTAAATTATATATGAAATATTACAAAAGTTAATAAAATTGTATTTACTAATAAAATTAATCAAATATGCACACTTTGATACAATTGGTGAGACAGAACCTCACTTCTATAGATGAGATATTTTTTATAGTAGAAAATTTATAATTGCGCAATAAATGGGGATCTGTAGACCATTAAATAATTTCTTGGTAACATATGACAATTTTTAATGAATATTTAACGTGAATACATAGATGAAAAACGTGAAAAATGGTATAGATGTCTCATTATATCGTAAATTCATATTAGTAGTAGGAAACAAAAATGAAAAATTGGTTCAGTTTTCCAAGTGTTGGAATGTTGATACCTGTTCAATTATTTGATGTCAATTTGTTTAAATTAAAATCTTCCCTTATCTTATAACCTGACCTTGAAACACCATCATTTTTGATTTCGTCATGAATTGTATTCAGAGAAAATTATGACATTCATGTAACGTATAACTGATAGTTGATTGGAATTATTATTTTGTGATTAGATCGAGAACCCATTATATATTTTGGGTAAGACTGAAAAGACTCATGTTTGTTTTTTTTTAATTTTAAAAATTTGATGTTTTAAAATTGAAATTAGATTAACTTGATTTAAATAATATTTTTAAATATTATATTAGATATTTTTACTTCAAGCTAAAATTGTAAAGTGATTTATTTATCCTTAATTACTTTAAAAGCAGAACAAAGTTTATGAAAACTTGAAGTTTTAAATTTATCATTACATTTTTGTTTGTCTTTTTTTTCTTCTTCTTTTTCTTCCTTCCTCGCAAATAGATACATTTGAGGGGTCTGGTGGAATACCGCCCTAAAATCTTTAAATTTGAGTACTTATAGTTTCATGCTCTTAAAACACTTCTCATATGTTCACATTATCGAATAAGCTTGTGTTAGTACCTATTAGCATGGTTCAGAACTAAAGGCATCCTTCATTCAAAAAAATTTTACCATTCTTATCTGTAATACCACCTGAATCAAAAAACCTCTTACTGTTGAAAACAACTGATTTCATCAAAAGACTTAAAACAATGTTAGACAGTTTTTGAAATATTAAATTCTATTTAATAGTTGTCCTGTTCCTTTCCACTTCAATGGTATTTTATCAATATAGACAAGGAAAAAGATTATAATTTTTAAAATTAGTAAGATTAACTACCGTTTTCATTAGATTAACAATATTAATTTTATTCTTTAAGAAAGTATCAATAAAATTCCATTTTTCTTAATGCGCATCTTCTGTAAGATGTTGTACTTTATGTGGCATTAACAAACATTTTACTCCACATCTAGAAACGAATACGCTTGAAGCTTTATACATGTTTTTCTTGAAACTAGCTCAGTGTGTTTATTGTTCCTAAATTAGTTTTTATCTACAGACAATGAAATACTGGGTAAAAACTTTTATAACATCCAAGTCCATTAGTAAATTACAACAAATTGTGTATTGTTCATTTCATAAGCATGTTCATTTTAATGTACATTACATTGTATTTTTTTCTGGAAATTGTTCAATTAGAAGAAAGAGAATAAGAAATATAATATGTTATTTATATAAACTGTGTAATGGATTTAAGTCTTTATCTGAATAACTTCTTTTTTCAAATATTTTCACTTATTACAAATCATAAATATTAACTTAAACCATTGATTTTTTAAATTATCATTTGATTTAAATCAAGATTGAAATCATACCAGCCTTAATATTTGGTGGCATTTTTTAGCCAAAAATAGAATTGTTATTTTGATACAATATCAATTATTGGTTCAGTGACTATTTTATGTCTTTGAAAACCAAGGAAAATGAAACAAATGTATAAATTACACCAGTTTTATGTTGGGCAAGTCGATTTGCCTTGAAGTTAGTATAAACATACCTGTAGTGTTCTAGGATTAAAGAGGGAATTTGCATTGTTTACAAAATAAATCTTTTATGAAATGAAAATTTGTGGAAGATATAACAATTTAAATTTGGCCTGTTTCCCCAAATTTTTAGGTTTTATTTGTTTGGGTTGGGAATATTCTTAATTTTAAAATAAAATTAACAGTTTGCACAGATTTCTTCTGTTTAGGCTGCAATACAAGATTTCTCATTTTCTATAGCTATCTGATTTGTTACTGCACATCATGACTATATTTCCACAAAGTCCACACACAAACTACCCTCATTGAAACCTACAAATGGACAGAACAATACTGAATTGTTTTGAGGATGGAATTTTGACAGTATACATAGTAAAATTGGGTTAGATTTTTACTGTAACTAATAATAATACTATTACAGGAATTATTGTTCAGATGAATCATTTACCAATTCAAATTTGGCTACATTTAATGAAAAATCATCTAAAACATATTAACCTTTTGTAGCACTGAAGTATGTGAAATATCAAAAAAAAAAAGTATTTTACTGAAAAAGTTGAAAAATTTGGGTAAAAAGAGCTTCTGCCTGCACGTAAAGAAAAACAAACACCGCATATTATTTGATACAATAATAATACATACATAAATATTTTAATACATTACCAGCGTTTTGAATTGCATGACGTCACACGTTTAGTTCGGCTCACTACGGACCTGCTGTAGATGACGCTGATATTTGAATTTCTCTCATTATGACATTAATTTTAATTCACAGAATGTTTTGAAAGATTGAAATAATAATCATTCAGTCGAATTATTTTGATAATTTTCTCTTGAAACTTAAAATGCTGAAATATAAGAAGTCTAATGTTTTATTTCATTGTAATATTAAAGTATAATTAGTAAACTTTGGAGGAATTAATTAACAAATTACATTCTTAAAAAACATTGTAAATGATTGATAAGGATATACGACGAAAGAAAGAAAAATTTTAAAAAATGGATATCAGAGTATTTTTTAAATTTTATTTGCCTGCATTTTATAATGTCCATAATATATTTCATCTGAATATTCTAGAGTGAAAACTAAGAATGAGGAATTAAAACACTATTTATATTTTTTTACCAAGTAAATTTATTTGACAATAATTACATATATGTATTTTTTCATGAAATCTTCATATACACTGTCCTTGTTCAGATGTATAATACATTTATTGTTTTCACAATCTACCCCATTCTTCTCTCTATATTCATCCATATTTTTCTCAGTGTACTCCACTGCATTAATTCATTTTGTAGCTGACACCTTCAAAAAGGTAAGTAATGTATTCATAACACTTTGTTGAATTTAAGACATTGAACCTCATTTTCTTTGTGGTAAATGTGTCTATGAATGTAGATAACTACAATACGTACTCAAAAGCCTGCTTCCAAAATGTACTGACCTTTTCCATTCATACTTGCAAGATCTTGCAAGAACATTCTTAATGAAGTATCCCTTTGTCTGAAACCATACATTTTCAGTTGGCTTGAATATGCTATGATGAGGAGTAAGCCATGAAACATTATGCTCTTCAGCATCCAGCACTTCATCAACTGTACACCTGTAGACTTCTCTTTAAGGAGATTGGCATGTTATGTCGTAAATAAGATTAAACATTGCAACTGATATTTATCAAAAGTTTTTTTCAAAATATTAAACAATTCTACTGTGTAGTATAAAAGATAATCACATTTGAAAACGTGTTTTAACACGCAAAGTATAGCAAAAGGACCACATCCGACCATAAATAATTAAATTTGAAACACTTCTACATAAGATTACAAGAGGGGAAAATGATATAATCGTAGATTAAACTTTTCTGAAGAGAAAAATTGGAATGAAAATATTTTACGGTGTTGTTTGGACTAGAACTCAAAAATAAGATAACTGCTATCAGTTTTCGAGAGAACAAAAAACACATCAACGTTGCATGGCGTACCGCTCGACGGGAATTTTAAATATTGAGAAATTGAACAAGGCTGGTTTGTGGGTATTGCTTTGTAAGCTGCCATGCGTATACGAGGTAATTTAATATGAATGATGATAAAATGTTTTAATGGTGTACGTAGATGGTCCTCCATTTTCTTCTGGGCCTTTACCCCTTTACCCTAACCTCATATGTAGCCTAGTGCAGCTATGTACCTCATTTGTATACTCTCTGGCCTAATGCAGCATTTTAACTTCACATTCTGCAGTGGAAACTACTTGGCCGATGTTCATTACACGACGTCTCGTAACTCGGCCGTGTATCTGAGCGTGTCTGTCCGGCCCGGTAAAATACTCTCTGGCCCGGCCCGCAGAAGCAGTAATATACTCTCTGCGCAGAAGTGCCGAGACGTTTGGACTCAGTTTAGTTTGGAGACCATTGGAGACGCTGTCAGGGGTAGTGCACTATGCTTGATGTGTTTCAATGAAGGATTGGATCGTTGCCTGTCAAAATTGTTTGTCTCGGTAATGTAAACAGTCAGCTGTAGTTCCCGTGGAATGAAACTCATTTAATGCTTGCCAAGGCGACGGAGCGTGTGGTAGTTGACATCGGTTGACATTTCCTGCTTATATGAGGCATTGAGGTTATCTTTTCGAACATGACCACCAATGCTAGGTGCATCGAAGCTCTTCGCTGCGAGAGATTTGATGAAGAGAATTGCTCTACCAAGACTTCTGAAGAGCAGGTTACTATTTATAATATATATATATATATATATATATATATATATATATATATATATATATATATATATATATATATATTTTGTTTACTTTGATTGTCTAACATTTCTTATCTTTTAGATTAAGGTGGAAGAATCGGTTGAAGAACTTTTCCAGTTATTTTCAAAGAAATTGACTATTGACATTAATGCCCCTTCATTGTTTCGTGGAAAGCATGTTTCGTATTTGAAGAAGTGCTTATTTTATCTCCCTAACTCTTATGAGGTAAGTTCATTGAATTGTAAAAAAAATATTCGTGAAATCGGTTTTAAACAGTCTGCGTAATTTGAATACATGCTACTGCCACATTCAATATGAATAAGTCATACCCGATATTTTGAAACGTGTACTATCGTGTCTAATATTGTAGTAGAAAATATTTGGAGATAAGTAACGAGAGGTACATGAGAGATAGATAGACAACATCAAAAAATCCCTATATTTGTAAGAAAATGTTAGAAAAGATATCTTTGAAATTTCACATTCTTAATTTCAAAAAATTCAGTTGGAAAAGAAAACAGTATTGCATGAATGGAAGAAAATATATCAACAAACAATATTTTAAAACTTAGACAATAGAATTATTGCATTTTTTCTTTTCCTATTAGTAAATTACCCTTTTGTACTGAAAAGTGAGTTGGATCATTATTGCAATCATTTTTTTTTTTTTTTTTTTTTTGCTTGTATATGTGAATGACATAACATTTGGCCAAAAGTTATTGCCCAATGTAACTTAAAATTTAGGCTTTCATAAAAATTAATTCAATGCTAAAACTAGTAAAATAGTTTTGGAATAAATTATGGAAACTGTGCTGTATTTGGTTAAACTGGTTGCTAGGAAGCTCTGACATTCAAGGCAGACGCCATTTACTATGGAGCAAAAATATTTTTTGTAATTTTTTTGGTCAAAAACAAGTGAAAAATTAAAACAATGAATTACAAAATTTGTTGAATGTCAGTAGGGAGTTAAATATAACAGAACAACTACAAATCAATGAGAAAAGAATTGTTAAAATTCATGATGAAAAACTAACACAATTTTAAACAGTTGAATAATAACAATTACAATAGTAGTAATAATAATAATTAAAATAATGATAATGATGATGATAATGACAATAATAATAACGACTAATAATAATGCCAATAATAATAATTATAATTATAATTTATTTCCAAAAGAATTATATTGACAGTGTACAATAACCATCACCATAAAAAACAAGAAAGAATACAAATTTTGTTTGACTACTTTACAAACATTATACATCCTGTTTAACCTTTAGTTATAAATTCACATCCTGTTTAACCTTTCATTATAAATTCTGGTCTTATCAGGTTTAAATTTTTAAATTTAAATACATTCATTACATTTATTTTATCTTATTCAGTACACTTCAAACCCTCTCTAAGTACTTTATATACTTGTCAGAGAGGGGTGTGTTACATTGTATGCTTGTTTTGTTCTGTTTTTTCTTTTTATCTTTTTTCTATTACCGTTGTTGATTATAGTTCACTCATTATCAGTAGTTTGACATGAATTGTTTTTATTTGAATTTAGAAATTTTTCCAAGGAAACTCAACAGGCAGAAAGAAATCAAAATCATCCAATTATCTAGAATAACAAATAAATTGTAATAAAAATAAATAAAAAGATATGTTAATTGGCAACTGGTTAATATGAAAACTAAGTTATACTTAATTACCATTTTGAAAATTTGTAGTGACAAATCAACAAGCAAAATGAAATAAAATTATTATCTAAATTAACAAATCAGGCATATCTAAATTAACAAATCAGGCATATCTAAATTAACAAATGGCAGCTGACATTAACTTGAGTTAAATTTTCCAATTATAAATCATTGGAAATTAAATAATTGGACTCAAAAACAAAAATTAGTCCATACTGTGAACCATTAACGAAACTGAATGAGAGTAACAGGAGCATTATACAATTTTTACAAGTTATTATCTTGTGTTAATCGCTGTTTATAATATATAGATTTGTAATAATTAACAACATAAGATCTTGTAATGATAAAACTCAAGAGGCAAAATGAAAATGAAGTGATTCACTTATTCTCTAACCTAGCAAATGGATTGTAAATAAATAAAACCAGATGACAGTTGGCAACAGGCAAAAATTAGTATTAAGATGTACTTAATTAGCATGTTGAAGACTTGTAGTGACAAATCAAATCAACAAATAATAGGACACACAAACAGTGTGGTCTATACAGAGATCAATTAACAATTGACATAATTACTTGTAGACAAACTACAATCAAAATATTATGTAAAATATTACAAAAACAAACAAACAAATAATAAAACTGAATGAGAGTAAAAGATACATTATTTTCAAATTATCATCTTGTGATAACCGCTGTTTACTATATGAAGATTTAGTTGTACATAATTCACAACATAAAATCTTGCATTGACGAAACTCATCACGCAAAAGAAATCACATTCATCTAATTATTATCTAAACTACAAATTAATTGTAAAGCAATAAAGAAATAGAATAACTAAATTAAAACCAAATAACTGAATGAGTGTAACACGAACATTATACATTTCTTACAAATTTGAATCTTGTGATAAGGTAGTTTACTGTATCAGTGAAGATTTAGTTGTACATAATTAACAAAATAAAATCTTGCAATGACAGTTAAGCAGTTAATAACTGGCATGACGAGTTTTGTTTTACTTAATTTACATATTACAAGCTTGCGATGACATATCAAAAATATAAAAAAAATATTTTTTTAAAAATTTCCTCCCCTCCAAAATACATATACTTTTTAAATTAACAAATAAATTATAAATAAAACAAAATGGCAATGGGCTACAAGCTAAAGAGATAACTCCTGAGCTATCTATTTTCATGTTATGCCTAGTATCTTGTGTACCATTCTTTTAATTTTTTTTTCAATTCCCTTTTAGATGTAACTTATAATATTTCATCCGGCATTGAATTCAGCAGTTTTGGAATGGCTGTGTTAAACATCCTCTCTCCAAATTTATTAAAAGTGTCTGGAAGTATGAAATAGTGTTTTTTCCTAGTTTCATAGCTGTGCCCACTGATTTTTCTGAATTTTTCTTTGAAAAAGTTTTTTTGCAGAATTTGAAATTCATACAGTTTTTTAACAGTCATGATTCCATGTATTGCTGCACTCACTTCCACGGTTAGGTTTGTTCTGCTTATTTTTTCATTAAGGCTTTTAATGCATTTATTTTGCAGGTCTGAATAATATCAACATGCGATTTTGCTGCAGCTCCCCATACTCCAATTCCATACCTAATCACAGACAATTAATGAGAAGTAAACCAATTTGAAAATTTTATAAGATATGAAATCTTTAATTCTCATTAGTTTCCAAACACATGTTCTGATTTTTTTGCTTAATTCCAAATGTGGTCCCTCCAGCTCAGATTTTGATCAAAAGTTACACCTAAATACTTCAGTTTGCTTACAGAAT